TCCTTCCTTCCTTCCTTCCTTCCTTCCTTCCTTCCTTCCTTCCTTCCTTCCTTCCATCTAATTAAATATAAATCAGAGAGCGAATCAATGCTGCTTTCCACCCTCTCCCTCATATTTCCTCTTGCACCCTACTTTCTTCTAGAGAGTTTCCATGGACCCTGCACTTGGTTTCCCCTATTGTTGACATCTGACGTTAGGTAGTGAACAAGTATTGGTACATTCATATCCACCAAAGCCAATACTTGATTTCGTTTCTGTGTTTTTGCCTAATGTCCCTTTCCTGTTGCTTGATACCACACGACATATAGTCACCACGTCTCCTTGGGCTCCTCTTGGCTCTGGCAGTGTCTCAGATGTTCCTTGGTTTTGATGATGGCCTTGACAGTTTTGAGGCACGATGATCAGGGATTTCATAGAATGTTCTGCTTTTAGGGCTTGTCTGATGCTTTTTTCATGATCAGACTGAGGTTGTGGGTTTAAGAGAAGATGTCCCCTGAGATAAAATGTCACTGTTGTCGTGTTATATTGCAGGTACATGCTGTGAGCATGCTATAACTTATCACCATCGATAGTCACCTTGATCACCTGGCTGAGGTCATATTGTCAGGTTTCTCCCCTGAAAAGTTACTCTTTTTCCCTCCTTTCCATACTACAAGGATTCCTGGGGGCACTGTGGGTTAAGTGTTGGGTTTCTAACTGCAAAATCAACCCCACCAGCCATACCTTGGGAGAACGAGGAAGCTGTCTGCTCCCATATGGATTTACAGCCCCAACACCCTGTATAGTGTTATTATGAGTCAGAATCAACTCACTGGCAGTAGGTTTGGTTTAGGGAGTTTTCCATACTATATTACCCCCACTCCATTTTTTGTTATGTTAATTGTGGTTTGGGTGAAAGTTTACAGAGCAACTTAGTTTTCCATTCAACAATTTATACATATTTTGTTTAGTAACGTAAATTGCAATCCTCTCATTATAACAGCTTTGTCCTAGTGGGGTGCCGTATGATAAACACTGGACCACAAAGTCAGTTGAGCTGCAAGATCAACGATTCAAACTCACCAGCTGCTCCTCAGAAATCCTATACAGACAGGGTCACTATGAGTGGGCACCAACTATGAGTTAACAACTTAACAACAGCAATGTAACAGCACTCTTCCCATTTTCTTCCTGTTTCCATTCATCCTTCTTCTCTGCCTCTCTCTTATGAGCTTTGTTTGAGGGTGCAATGCCTCCCTTTCCGTCTTGTGTGGTTGATTAATCTGAAGAGTCTGTTCCCCATATGTGTTCTTGTTCACTCTATAGACCTGTCTGTTGTCTAGCTGTAAGGTGATCCCAGGCGATGGGTTCAATTCCAGGTTTGAAGGGAAAAGAGCCACAGTCTTGGGGGTTCCAACAGTCTCTACTAGACCAGTTAGTTATTGCTGTTATTGTCGTTGAGTCTGTTCTGACTCATAATAAGCCTGATCTTTTTTACGATTTTCCATGTTGTTCTAAATTTTTCTCCCGTTCTGTCTAGAACCTACTGTGATGCGATCAGAGGAGATGGTAGTGGTAAGCTGGGCACCATCTTTCTCAGACTTGTAGAGACTGAATCTTGGGGTCCATTAGTCCTTTCAACGCATGGTTTCCTTGAGTCCTTGATTCCCTTCACTCTTTTTGTCTTGCACTGCTTGCAATCTTTGGAAGGGAGTCAAAGCGCTCGCCCAACGCTGAAGAATTAGGCTGTGCCTCCTTGGCTGAGTATTTACATAAATTATTTGGAATTCTCCTGCACAGATTTGTCTGTTCCCACACACATATACTTATGTATTCATTCAAACATTTCCTTGTTTTAGTATGGATATTTATCTCATACTTGGGGGCATAACCCAATGTTTCTTCATTTTGTTGTTCACATTGTGCCAACGTTGGCCATTGGGAACTCTTTCAGGTGGTTCCTGGGTCTCTTGGATGTAGCCCCATTGCTGTGGGAGCTCTTCTTCCTGGAGCTGCAAGATGCTCCAGGGTCCTCTTGTCTAGTCCCTGATTCAGTCATTTCCTGGTTAAGGTTGGTGGGGACGGGTGTTAGAAACCAAGATCTGGCTGTAGCTGCTATGGTGTCATTTTCTTGAGTCTAAAAGGTGTTTTTTAGACTCAAGAATATCATACATGAAGAGAGCAAAAAGTCATTAAGAAGACAAGAAAGAAGGAAAAGATCAAGATGGATGTCAGAAGAGACTCTGAAACTTGCTCT